TAATGGCATGCTCCATCTTCCGTGGTTCATGGGGCAAAGCATTTCATCCCAGAGCTGCTAACATCCTTCAGACAAACTTTCAGAATAAATACAGAATGCTGGATTACAACAGATATGCTAAAGATATTCCACAACAGCATGTTGCCCAGTCCCCTCCCTTCCATTTTATACCCATGGTGCCCCTGCCTCATCCTGCAGATAGTCTTCCCTCCTGACACAGGTCGATGAGTCCCACAGTGATCTAGAGCTAATGAGCTGAAGCCATCATATAAACACAGAGGCATATAAAACTCTGCTGTTAGTTTCCACTGCCCAGTGCAAGATCTATCCACTACTGCTCAAGGGCATGATCTCAAAGCACACGATACAGCCACAATGTGAAAATTAACTAGGTCTGCTTGTTAGTGACTATATGGGAAGTGCCTGAGAATCCTATGTATGCAGCATTCAATTCCACAGGAGCAAGACAGCATACAAATGTTATAACAAATAAATCCCTCCCTTGACATCCTTCTCCACTAATAGAGGTTTTCCATGGATGCATTAAGAGTTCTTTTTTCCCCAGGGAGATATGCACAGAATTAAAAAAGAAATAAAGAAACTGTAGAAAAACATTCCAGTGTAATGTTTTCCACATGAAAAATAAACATGGAAGACATTATACCAGAGCTAGCCATGAAGGGAATTATCATCTCAGCAACTGTCAAAAGGAAGCAAGGCTTCACATTCTATAAAATGTCGCTCAAGCTTAAAAAACAATTCATAAGACATAAATGGCCATAAGCTACATTTTAAGAAAAACCAGACATTATATGCACAGAATCTCTTGGGGATACACCAGCAATGGTCAAGGCTAATGGGAATCAGGCACCAGTTTCTCTGCTAGTCATGGACATCAAGTTTTCAAGCTCACTTTGGACTTCACCTAGACTTAACAATTCAGATAAAGCTGACAATTAATTTATCCTTCACAGTTTGCCCATCCTTAGGAACTTTACTGAATTTCCCACTGTTTCAACATAAAAACCCCACTATTTCAGTATTAATTTCTCCCTTGTGTAAATCAAACCTGAGCCTTTACTTTCATACCATTTTCTGTTCCTTGGCTGAATCCTTCCCATTCAAATTAACATGTTTTTAATCATTATTCTTGAGTTATTCGTGTATCAATGGTGTAAAAATAGCAACAAACAAACAAACCAGGACTAAATAATACAAAAAAAAATTAAAAGGCATATTTTCCCATCCCTACTTCAGTCTATTCAGCTCCCATACAAGTAAATTGTGCAGGCTGATCACTTTTTGTGCCCCTGCCTGTGCATTATCCATCTCTTAAGGACAGCAACATTACTACCCCCAAAACCCAGGCTAAAAGTAAAACTTTCCCACAAATGTTAAAATCTAGCAAGAACACACCGCAAAGGCCACTGTAGTGTTGTGACTAGAGCCTGGGAAAACCAGGTTCAAATGTCAGCTCAGGACCTAATTACATGTCCCTATGCCGGGCAGAGGAAATGTGATCAGAGGTTCCATCCTTCCCAAGCATGTGCTTCCTAAAGTAGGCTGGGGACTGCAGCATGTGGAGAGTGGAGGCTTAGGCCTTCCCCTATTATATTTTCTTGATCTGAAATGAACCAATGGGTACCCATGAGGGCTGCCAGCCCCATGAGGGCTGCCATCCCCAGTCCCAGGGAATGGGGCAGGGGAAAAACGTAAGCTCCCTCTTTGCATGTTGTGGTCCCCATTAGAATTGGCCCCACATACCTGGAAAGCATGGAGCTCCAAAATGCACCTCTGGAGTCAACCAGGGAAATGTTACTGGGGAGAACACGTAGTTAGGCCCTCAGCCATGACGTTTGCTGGGTGATCTTGGGTCAGTCACACTTTCTCAACCTAATCTACCATACTGGGCAGTTATGAGGACAAAACAGGAGGACAAACCATATACTCCAAGCTGAGCTCCTTGGAAGAAGGTTAGGGTAAAAATGCAGTATTTATTTATTTAGAAGCTTTGTATGCCACTTCTCCAGATCTCCTCGAGTACGTTCACAACTAAAACAGTAAAACAAAACTAAGCAAACAAGAATAAAACCAATCACAAAAACAACAAACCCTCCCCCCCAAATCAATATAAAACAGCCAACCAATCACCATCATTTTAGGCTGATATGTTTATATGCCTTAAAAGCACATAACATTCGCTTCAAGGTGCTGATGCTTACCTTTATAGCCCTTTATGGTCAGGGGCCTACATCCCTGAGGGACCACCTTTCCCCACATGTCCCCCCGAAAGCACTGCGATCAGGGTCACAAAATAGGCTGGCCCTCCCTGGTTCAAAGATGCCAGGCTGGCGATAACCAGGGCCAGGGCTTTCTCAGTGGCAACTCTGCTCTGGTGGAATGAGCTCCCAGAAGAGATCAGGGCCCTGCGGAACCTCACACAGTTCTGCAGGGCCTGCAAGACGTAGCTCTTCCTCCAGGCTTTCAACTAGGAGCTGCCACCAATAGCTGAAAGGTAGAGCACCCTGCCTCCTGGAGCCATTACCAACAGTCTGTGCTACCCGTATAGGGATAGATCTGTGGACCGATCACCAGATTATGCTATTGACTGATGGCCGCCAGTGTTTAATAATCGGCTTACTTTAGTAGCATTTCATGTTTATAGCACCTTTTAATGTTGGAATGCTTTAGATGTTTTTAAGACTGTTTAAATTGTTATTGATGTGTTTATTCTCTTATGTAAGCCACCCTGAGCTGGCCTTGGCTGGGAGGGCGGAGTATAAATTTGATAAATAAATAAAACTGAACAATCTAAAATGATGATGGTTAATCAGTCAGGCAAAGAACAGACCATAAAACAGCTAAAAGACAGAACCCCTTAATTAAAAGCCTGGCTAATGAGAAATGTTTTAGCCTTGCACCAGGAGGAAAGTATTGTAGATGCCATGTGAGCCTCAAGGGGACGGGGCATTCCACCACTGAAAAGGCCCTGCCTCCGGCTGCCACCAGCCTTTCCACTGCAGGCACAGACACAAGAGAACAGGGCTTCAGCCCAGGAGATCAACGGAAGACTGGAAAATGTAGGAGCAACTAGTCCTTCAAGCACCCTAGCCCCAAGCCCTTTAGAGTTTTATAAGTAAGAAACTGCAGTAAGAATTATGCCCAGAAACACATGGGCAGCCAATGTAAATCTTTCAACACAGATGTCATATGGTTCCTGTATCCATTCCCTGACAACAACCTGACTGCCACATTCATTATTCCCAGAGAAAGCAAACCAAGAGCATGTCCTTTTATATATGCAGGGACCAGAATGTTTTAAGACAGCCTCATGGTTGTCATGGTAACCACAAAGACCTGAGCTGCTCCCATCAGGTCAGTATCAGCATGAACACTGAAGCCCCCCAAAACAATAAGCCTCAAGGTCCTCAATGCTAAATCCAAGACTGCCTCCATCAGCTCAGGCAAGGAGACAGTTGAGCAGTGAGCTGGACAGTAAAAAAAAATTCCCTATTCTGTCCTGATCCCCCAGAATCAGGAACATACACTTAGAACTGGTACTCTGGGTCACAAAGTGCCTGGTGAGTGCCACAGAGGCTCAACAGACCACAGCCATTCACACCAAGCCTAGGCTGATGCTGTACTAGGAAATTTGGGAGAAAGCAGCACAGGGAAAGAGCCACCCCTTCCTCTTACTCCACCAAGGTCTCTGTAATACATACCAGGTCAGACTGACCTGGCATTCAGCAGCAGCACATTTAAGTTCAATGATCAGCATGATTAACAGGATACCCCTGGATTAGAGAAGGACTGGAGGAAGGGCTGGCCACAACTTGGTGATTCTCTCTTTCCCTCATTCCCTCATTCAGCCCGTCCTTCTCTCACCACCACATCTCTCTCTGCCCACCAGTACCTCAACAGCAGACCCTCATCTGCCTCCCCTCAGCATACCAATAACCAGGTACATAACAGTATAAAATCCCTCCATTAGATACTGGTGGGCCACAGGGGAATACAGTTGATCTATGAATTCTTGTCTGAGGATGTTGAATGGAATCTCCTCCTGAACCACCTGCGATCCACTTCCAGTCTTCTGGACTTCAAACACTGCGGCTGATGACAGTGTTCCAGCATGATAAGCTGGTGCTGCTTGTGGGGCCACAGGTTAAGAACCTAAGACCAAGAGCTCTTCAGCCCAGTAGTCAGTTAGGATGCACTAGTGCAGTGCAACAACCATGTATGTGAGAGAAGTAGTCAATAGTCCAAATCTTGTTTCAGCCATACATTCACTGGATGGACTAAAGCAAAGCATTAGCTCACAGCCCCCTGCAATATGATAATGGCTGCATCCAAGGAGGCCCATACATGTGTGGGAAACAGTTCCAGTCACCAGGAAGTGTTACCTATTTTCTGTTCCAACTACAATGCTCAGTGCTTAATTGAATTCCACTCCTGACATTCAAGAGCAGCTTTGTGAGTGGTTATGGTGAGAAGGGGAGAGCTGAAAAAACCCACTGCGCAAGTAGAACATTGTGATCTTTGGAATTCATCCGACAATACTGACATAGCCAAGTTGTTGAAAGGTATGCAATATGGTGATAATGCCACCAATTTACATTTCAGAGTTGTTTTTAAGTATCACTGCAATGACACAATGCTGTCTGTTATTCTGAAATATTACTTTGAAACAGATTACTGTTTAGCATTCTATGGACATACCCAGCACTCAATCCCATGCTTAAAACGAAGCATCTAAAAATTGCAAAATTTTAAGTAACATTAAATGAGGTAGCTCAATCTTAATAGATAAGAGTACAAGGATTCATAACAAGTCATTTGTTTGGTATTTTTAACCTCTAGATTATTAACATCCACTGCTTCCAACAAAACCATTAACAGAACCAACACTTCAGTCTCTGAACATTGTCCCATAACTACTTTAAGCAACTTCTGCTTGAGATCAGCACTACATGTATGAATTTAGCAAAGCTGGAATTCCGTCATTCATTTTCCGATAAACTGAAAGCAGCAAAGCCTAAGAAGACACAGACCCATGTGGAAATCATAAGGAGAACATTTAAGAAGATTCAGAGATCCCTGGAAACCATTACAGCAAATCCAAGCAATATGCACAATTTAAAAATAAAATCTTTTCTGTTCCAGCCCTTCAGTTCAAACACATGCGTTGTTGTTCTTCAAGAAAAAAATAGAACCCTGTTCTCTCTACCATAAGAAAACCTAAATGTCAAAGGTTTAAGGTGGCCTGCACAGTAGCTTAGGTCTGTGATGGGGAGTGAGACTAAACTCCAGACACCCATGAAGCCAGGCAAGTCACGGAATTTGTTTTCATATTATCTTCATCCGGGACCGGGTGCGAGGGGGGCCAGAGGGAATCTTTGCCAGTGATGGTTCTGGAGAGCCTTGCAGCAGCTGTTGCATCACACTATTATTGTAAGGAGTTCAAAATTTCCCATGCCTGTTTACTGGAAGTAGGTCCACTAAGTTCACTGGAACCTCCTTTTAAACTAAATAGATTGCAGTCTAAAAGTCACTGAAATGAAATGTCATGTTTTGCAACCAACCAGTTTTTGCTCCAGTTTCCTCTCTAATCTGAATAACAGGAGCACTGCAATCCTACACACACTTACTTGGAAGTAAGTCCCATTGAACTCTGTGCCATTCACTCCTGAGCAAAAGTATTTACAATTAGCTGCCTACCATTTTCCTTCTCACCTTGACACAGAGAGTACTTCGTCTTTCTGTGTCATGCCTCTGAGGATGCCAGTTACAGCTACTGGCAAAACGTCAGGTCCTACAATGCCAAGACCATGGCCATACAACCCGGAAAATCTACAGCAGCTAATTATACAACAAATTGGCAGCTGGGTCTGGGTAGTGAGATGCATGTAACCCAAAATGAGTAAGTAAAATTTGACTCTCTGCAGAAAGATCTTCTTGAATAAAAAGCAAGTGGCTTGTCCATGCTGTTTTGTTGAATTATTTTTTAACTCAATTTGTTCCAAAGAGCTTTAATTAGTACAAACCACGTAGTTCCATCATAATGCAGGAATGAAGCCTGTTCTTCCATTGGTGTTGCTTGGTGATGCCTTCTCACAGGACAACTGAATAAGCTCCAGAAGCACCTTCACGTAACATCAGAACAATGTGAGCTCTAAAGGCAACAGAATGCAAAGCCTCCATAGCAGACAGAAATATTCGTGTGTGTAATTCTAAGAAATAGGGCAGAAAGCCATGCCACAGGAACTGCACATAGTGTAGAAAGACTGCATGTCATGTGTGAAATCTTTTCCTAATTAACATGCACATTCCTTGAATAGCTCATTTTCAGTGAAATTCTTCCACAACCAGAGTGACTAAAACCAAAAACAAAATGCTTCCAGGATCACCTTTCCACACACCAACCACAAGCCCCCAGGATGTGACCCCAGACTCCCCACTGCACTGGAAAATGTATGGATTTATAAGTCTGCTTACTGTCCCTAGCATTTACTCTTTACAACAGGGCTAGGAAAGATGGCTTGCACTATGTGCAGAGTAAGTGATGGGGGGGAAACATATTTACATGTTGGGGAAGAACTCGTGCATTACACAGAAAGAAAAAGGACTGCTGCCTAAGTAAACAGAGGCAGGAGCAAGTGAAATATCTGCATGTCAAGAATCTCAGAAGCAATGCCACATCTGGAATAGCCACCCTCCAAAAAGTTGAGAGGGAAACCCAGGGACAAGATATGAAAACACTGTCCACTGTCCGTTTTCTTTTCAGCCCATTGCAAGAGCCAAGGCATCCCAGTCATCTTCTCCTTGCCCCCCTATAGTCCCTGCACCCCCACCCCCTTTGTCCCAGCTGCAGCTAATCTACCCTCCCCTTCTTTACTTGCACGTATTCAAAAGCCTCCTGGCATCCATTGTCATGCAATCTCCATTTCATTCAACAGTCAACTTTCCATCCCTTTCCCGACCCCCGTTTGAGGATAGGCCCCTTTCCCCAACATTGCAAGGCCAGTGGAAAGGAGGAGGAGAGAAACAACTCAAACTGGCCCCCTGGCGAGAAAAGCCCGGCTCGCCTTCCCCAAGCCGGATCTCCGGATATTAACCCGGGGCCATGGCTCGGCTATTAATAACATCCCGGGAGGGAGGCTGAGCGGGATGCTCGAGGAATCGTCGGGCGGGGGTGGGGGAGGGAGGCTGGCCGGACGGCCCCGGGCCGGCGGGGCTCCGGGCTCACCTGCGTGGGGCATGGTGATGGTCTCGTTGGCGTTGCTGGAGCCCACGTTGTAGATGACCACGGCCGAGGCGTTCTGGGAGGCGGCGTGCCGGATCTTATCCTTGAAAGTGCAGTTGCCTTTGGGGATGAGCGCGATCCAGCTCTTGCCGGGCCCCGGCGCGGGGAATCTGGCGTTGGGGTCGCAGGCTTGCCGGTCGGCGGCCGAGGCGGTCATCACCACCTGCCCCCGGGCATCCTGCTTGGGCGAGTGTTCCCCGTAGCGGCCGCACTCGCTCTTCTCGCTGCGCAGCTCGCCGCCGCCGGCCTCGGGGTAGGTGATGTTGACGAAGGCCGTGTACCACTCCTCCTTCTCGGCCACGGTGAAATCCAAGCAGAGCAGATGCACGAAACAAAAGGAAAGCAGCCATGTTGAGAGAGCCAGACTGCGGCACGCTTGGATCACAGACACTGCCATCTTCGCCTGCCTGCGCGCCGCTCTGCATGGGAGGGAGGGAGGGAAGGCGGGAGGGAGGGAAGGAGCGCGCGCGTGGATGTGCGTGGGGACACGCCGCCGGCCCCGCACCCGGCAGCCCCAGGCCGAGGGACGCTTCACCGCTGCAAGCCAGCCGGCATGCGTCCCAGCCAGCCAGCCAGCCGGCCTCCTCGGGGGGCGCACAAGAAACGGCTCTCGCTTGGCGTCCCCTCGCCCGCCTTCCTCGCCGCCTTCTGGCTTTTTAAGGGCGGCCGGCGCGCGCGCCGAGCGCCGCTTGCAGCCCCAGCAGGGTTCCTGCCATAGGCTGGCGGAGGAAGGCGGCCTCTTCGCTGCTCAAGAAGGAAGAGCCCCAAAGAAGCGGCTGCTACCGCCGCCCGTCCTACTCCTGCTGCTGCTCCCCCGCTCCCGCCTGCTCCTGACCTCCCCATTCCTCCCCTCGCCCAGCCTGCCTGGATTTACAGCCAGCGGAGATGTCGTTTGGTGTTGGGGGGGGGGGCGAAGGCGGCTGGGCGGGGGTCGCGCGCAGGAAGAGCTTCGGCGTGATGTCAAGAGCGCCCGCTGGCTGGCTGGCTGGCTGGCTGGCTCGCTGGAGAGGCTGGGGGACGACACCTGCCGGCAGACGGAGACAAGGCACCCGGAGTGGGGAAACTGATTGGAGCTGAGGACTTTGAGGTGTTTTCACTCGTTCACTACATCACTCGGGCCCTGCTTACAACTGGATGTAGGCCACGATTTAAGCCCTGTGTGGGGGCGCTACAGTTGCCCTGCATTTTTTAAATTACCAACAGCGTGTGTTGGGTACATTTGCACCCTGACAGGCTGCACTGCACCCGCCCAGCATATGCTAACCCAGTAGCTAGTATGCTATTCATACAAAAACAGCAGTAAACGTGTTCGAATATAGCCTGGTACACAGGGCAATGAAAGTTTTGTCAGTGGCCCACCATCCTGAATCAACCAGGACTCAATGACTGCATCATCATTATTGTAATCTCCAACTGCTGCCGCATCTTTCTCACACTGTTCCTCCAAGGAGCTCTGAGCACAGGCCCATCGCTACAGTGGGGCATCTCAGGGCTAGGCCCCCTGACTTACTGGCAAGGCCCCACAACTTCCCATCCAGCCCAGGGTCCCCAGGTGGCAGCTGGTGCGGGAAGGAGCCAAATATTCCTTTAATTCAATTAGCCAGTGCCCCCTGAGAAATTTAAATGTCCCCAACTTTAAAAAATCCTGGCTACAGACCTGTCCGAGCAACATTTTATCATTGCAACAACCTTGTGAAGTACTTTAGGCTGAACAAAAGAGTGTCTGCCCAAGTTTAGGGAGCTTCATGGTAGATAGGGATTTGAATTCAGGCCTCCCCAGTCCTGGTATGTGACCCCAAACACCACACCTCTTTTCCGAGTTTGGCTCCTGTAAGCAGTCTTCATTCAGAACTGCCCCACAATCTTTGTTCAATATTTCACTCTTTTGGTAAAGGCTGCTAAAAATACTCTCACCTTAGTGTAAAGGTAATCTTTTATCCTTCAGGTCTGTATCTGGTTTACTGTTGCTTTTTCACTAAGGCAGGTTCAACTTTTTCTCTTTCTAAGGGTAAATGGGGGCAGCCTACAAACTATGGACTACCTATCTCCTATTTATGGGGAAAGCACATGCAGACCAAGACAAGAAGGATGAGAGCAGTAGTATTCCAACTGATTCAGAAGTGTTATATCACCACTTAACGAGTGAACCCCATGGGAATTAAATTTGGAAATAAGGAACATAAGGTGAGGTGGGAAGAATGAAAACAGAGCATGTCAAAAAACAGCAGGCACGAATCACTCCCTAGTTATGATGTGTAGGTTTGGAACAATTGTTCTAGATCAAACAGCACCAAAAGAGATTTCATGTTGCCTTTGATCACATTCAGCACAATAGTTTTCAATGGAGAGTCTTCACACATACAGCTGTGAGTCATAAGGTGGTGAATCACCCAACAGTATTTGTGTGAATCAGCCCTTTGGGAGCAAGCTCTTGTACCCAAGAATGTAACCTGTCATACATATCACGAACACAGCCTCTGCTGTTAGTCAGAGACTGGAGGAGGCTACAAAACCATGACTGCAGCCGATTTTCCTTCCAAACACAAGCTTGAATGATTATTGACATTTTTTGCAGCAATAAGGTTACATCTTAGTATTAAAAGAGTTAGTAAAACAATATACTTGCAGAGTTCTTGTTTTTCACATTGTTCTGTATTAGTAAATTAGATATTATGAGAGAACTTTCTGAGCATCTTCTTTATTTCAAAGAGCCATTTATTAGAGTCCTTCTGCCCTTACTTCGGCTTTCTGTCTCTAAAATCATATACAGTTTTCATTGCTCCCGCAACCGCTTCTGCAGCAGAGTCCTCATCCGTTCCCGAGGCAGCTGAGTCACTTGACTTATTTTCTTCCTCTTTAGATTCTTCCCCCGATCCCAGCTGACGTCTCAAGAACTCCTTGGCTTTGAAGATAGAGTCTATCTTCTCCCTTCTATCATTGATTTTAAAGATGACACCTTCAGGAATCACCCACCTGTACTGTATACCGTTGGTTTGAAGAAAAGTAATTAACTCCTTGTAGCTCTTTCTCTTCTGACGAATTTCAAATGGAATGTCTTTTAAAGTCTTTTTTTTTTTGGTAAACAAATTTTATTTTTCTTAGGAATTCAACATATAGAAATCAACCATTTCTTCCTTTCCATTGTCTACCCCATTCCCATTTCCTCCCCTCCCTCTGGTGGCTTCCCGCAATGCTTCCCCCCTCACTCCACATTACTTTACATCATCTATTATATCATTTTCTTATCATTACAATCTTAAGATAACTTCATTTGACTTAATATTGCTCTAAACATATTAAGTTTTGTTTCACATCCCAGTTCTTTTCCAAATATATTTTAAAGTCACTCCATTCTTGAAAAAACACATCATCTTCTTTGTTATTCAACTTTTTCGTAATTTTATCCATTTCTGCCATGAACAGAACTTTTTGTATCCAGTCTTCAATTTCTGGTACTTTCTCTGTTTTCCAAAATTGTGCATAAATCATTCTCGCAGTTGTAATTAAGTACCAGAATAAAGTATTTTTAGTCGTATTGATTTCTTCCATTTTTAATCCCAAAAGCAGAATTTCTGGTGTCTTTTTGAAAGAGCATTTCAGTATTTTTTGCATTTCTTTGTGGACTTTTGTCCAATAGTCTACAGCTTTCTCGCAAGTCCACCACATATGGTAAAATGAGCCTTCAT